CGCCCCCACCCGCGCCGCTGCCACTCGCGCTCCGTCACACTCCCGAGGATGGTTTCCCGCAGGGGGTGACGCGACGCGACATCGATAACAAAACATCCATGTTTGCAAACAACGATGTTCAAAATTAGAACATCGATGTTAAAAATATAGCAACTAAAAGCCATCGATGTTTTTCAACATCGATGTACTTGGACTGGTTTAGTAACCTCTAACATTAAATTCGTGTGCAATAAAAATTAAAATGACAATATTTGCGTTTATGCATTCGCTGAATAAAGGTATGAGAAGAAGGAGTAGACCCTACGCCCACAGCGTATGAGTTGACCATATCTCACTGTGCGAAATGAATATGAAGAAAGAGGAAATACAAGGGCATGGAGGTCATCACGGGCGAGACGGTTTGGTCGATGAAGGTAGTGCAAACAGCATTCCTTTGGCTTCAACACATGATATAACAGTGTCACCACCAGTTATTATTTCATATGTTAAATTTTACGGTCTTGTGATCATGGACATTTTTCATTCAGAAATAAAACATCGGAAAAGAATAAAACATCGATCACAAAACGTCGATGCTAAAAAAACATCGGTGTTAATACATCGATGTTTAAAACAGCGATGTTTCTACAAAAAACTTCTATGTTATGAACACATTGACATCGATGTCGCATCTCTACCCGCTGGTCCTATCTTCACGACGCGCAGCGCTCCGTGCCTGTCAGCGGCAGACCGCGTGGGTGCGGTGCACGGATTTGGACGTTAGTAGTGCATATAGCGCATGCTTTCTCGCATTATTTATGACTTTGGCAATGCTCGAACATTCAGTAAGTTCAAAGATTATGAGACTTGCCCTATTTTTAATCAAAACAATTTGGAGCTATTAAATAAACAAGTTTGAAAATATTGAAGCTTCATGTAAAGTACTCCCAAAATCAATATACCCGTTTTATACTCGCAGTACCTGGACTTCGACCAGAGCGATCGGGGAATGTCAATTTTAGAGAAAATCGGCACTTGCGTCCACCAGAGGTAGATAGACAGACAGATACAAATTTTACCTCGTCAATCTATTTTGTTACTGCGTTACAGGAAGTAATTTACTACATATAAGAACAAGATTTATGCACTTTTTCGATAATAGAGCCTCACAATACGAGTTTTTGTGTTGCCCGACGTCACGGCGCACGATGACAACACGTTATTTAATGATCGCGACGTACTCATTTACAACGCTCCTACGGTAACATCTTCATGATATCACTGACTCCATCAGCATCATCTTCCATCGACGGCTACACTTGATCCGTAGATGACTGAGGCTTACACCCGGTTGACCAGCCGAGGACTAGTCTCGCGCATTTCTCGTGTGTCCCCTTCGACGCAGCGTTTGCTCGTCGCCCGTCGCTGGGGCTTCTTACTCTCCTTGCGAAGTGAAGTTCCTAGGACTGACGTTCTTCAAAATTGTGAGCACAATTCGGTATACGTGAAACGACATCGAGCATTGTGAATTATATTAAGACTTTCAATCGAATATAAATTTCATCTCTTTATTCCGGTGATTGTTTTGCCTTAGGTTCTGCTAATGTTCCACGAGCTCTTCACATCTGAATCAACGTCACGACAAATCAACGCCACAACCAACTTCACATTAAATCAATGCCAGAATCAACGTCGAAACGCTCCCAAGGTACACCAACAAAAAGCGGGCAAAGCCAACGCCTGCCTATCACGGGCATGCGTCTACACAGTTGCAGTGACGTCATTGACAAACCACATCCTGCGCGACAACACATGCGGACATTATCGAACAGTTGAAGGCTCAACCATTGCTCGTGTGTTGTTTGTGTCGAAGGTGTAAGCGATTGAAATCTGACTGCATTTTATCACTCAACGTTCGTCCGGTCACCATTGCCACTAACGGAAAGTCGTTTTTCACATTAAAACTAACCATTAAGTGGAATTGCAGAAAACTAATTTAGACTCATTTTTTCAATAAATCTTAATTTTTGTATAGTGATAGTGCAGCTAACCACATATCCGCCAAATACTCTTTCCTTGGCAGGAAGAAGATGCTTGAACTTCGCTGATTCAGCATAAACAGCCAGGCGGAGTCCATTGCCACTTGCGAGTAATAATGACGTAGCTGTAATCTACCAAACGCTTGTTTTGATACTCCAATCGTGCATTAGAAAGTTAAGCCCAAAAAGCTTTAAACTTTGAAAAAAAATTAACTAAATCCCCATTTTAAAATATAGATTTTGCCAGCAAGGGTTATTTTATTTCACGTTTTTTATATTCATATTTCTGTACCATTGTAAAGTAGATTTTAGTATAAAGTAAAATCATTTTCGAATTAAGAAAACTAATGGGTGACCGTCCGTCTCGGGTGACGCTGTCGCAAGAGTGACAACAATTAAAATCTTTGACTGTAATGTATTTAAAAATGGTATGCATTGATTTTAATTACAATGTAATAAATAATTATATTTATAATGACTATTTCACTCGTGAAATTGAAACCAATAGTGTTTAACTATCGAATGAAATTACAGGCAATTCTATAACAAATTTTTATATTCCATGTCAGTGCGAGTGGGAAGTACCCTCAGTGTTCTCGAGAATATATTACTTCTTGTTACGCTGTTACAACTTCCTTGTGTCATATTTTGATGAAACGAGAAACCTGAGGAAATGTTGAAGAAATCCGGAAAAAGGGCAAACAATGATAAGTTTCTTTCATTTATTTATATCATCTACCCGCAGAGTGACTGCAGAGTGTTATTCACTTTTTTAAATTTTGATTTCATGTTGTTTGTATTATATAACTTGTTCGCCAGTTATATATTAAAAAGTAATAAACAAGGCCACTGTTAAATTATATCCCCTTCCAGTGGGAACGTTAATGTTAGAAGCGCGAATAAACCCGTTTTAAAAATATGAATGTTTTTTGAGCAATGTAGCGTTAACAAGGATGTTTCAATTTTGATCATTAATTGGAGATGGATGAAATTATAAACACCACAGAGACATCAAAACGTAACACAAAGTTACACCTTCAGATATTCCAAATTAAAACAAAATATAGAATTATCTATGTACATGAAAAATCAGTATGTATAAAGAAGTCAAAAATCACGAGAAGACCCCCCACACACAAAACAAACACACACACACACACACACACACACACACACACACACACACACTGAATGAAACGGAATAATCCCGCTGAAGGCCAGGGTTGTCCAATTGGCGGCCCGCGGTGACACTTATTGTGGCCCGCGAAAGGTTATTGGCGAAGAAGAAAGTCCCTTGCATCCATGTCGGGGTAGAACATTGCACACGCACTCTATGGGGATCAACTCCTCCTTTTTGTAAAATTAGGTTAAGATTTAGTAAATTGTTTTCTAGTGAATTCAGAAATTCCAAATTATTCTAAAGAGTTTCACTGAGTTATGTATCTCGCGCCTGATATCACGAATAGTTCATCCCCCCCCCTCCGGTTCAGCACAGCCGGGAAAACTGCCCTGATCACAATACGGGGAAGTCAGGTGTGGATCTGTGGAGTAATGTAAATATGGGCCACGAAATCATATTAAAGATTTTAGTTGAGGCCCTTAAGACCTCTCACGTCGACACTCCAACGGAATCTCTCTACCAGGCGCGCCTCACCACGGTCGTCATTGCACGACTGATCTGATTTGACGCACGCAGTCGTCGCTCTGCCAGCCTGGCAAGAGCACCTCCCCCCCCCCCACCTGGAGCATCGCGTGCCACGGAGCTGCGGCGGCTGTGAGTCGAGCCCCTCCGTGCGCCGCGCCGCGCCGCGCCGGAGCGCTTCCGCCGGCTGTCGCGAGAACACGGGCGCGAGGGCGACGCACAGGCGCCCCATCGCCTCCGAGGAGCGCCCCCCCCGCTTCGTGCCAGGTGCGATTCCGCTGTCCATCGCGCTCGTTTCTGCAGCTAACTCACTCGAGGATGTACTTACTCCCGAGCCACCACAAATGGGACACAAAGTGCAGTCTCGGTTATGTAGGTTTATCAGAAACCGACATATCTCGGGAGTAGATATACGGGAGAAGGAATGTTTTATTGCTTATGCAAGGCATTTGAAAATAAATATTAGTTTTACAGAGAACATCTTGAACGTACAGCAACAACAACAACAACAGCAATAATAATAATAATAATAATAATAATAATAATAATAATAATAATAATAATAATAACAATTATTATTATATTATTATTATCAGAATAAATATTGAGACAATATTGATAGCATTTTAAAAATAAAAGAAAAAAGACGAATGGAGGTGATTCACTTTTGTATTCGAGAAATCGCACATGAATTTGAAAATTAGTAACATTTTGTCACTTAGCTTTATAGAGTTAAAACAAAGAACCACGGACCGACTAACGTGTTCATCCGGTACTGCACTTTCAAGAAACTTTCTACGTAGTTTGAAATGCTACAGTGTTTCTTTGTGGGATGAGATAAGAATCTCTCGCTACAACAGATAGTTTCCTCACTGGGACAGGAGGAGGAAGGTTTACGAATGGAAACAGATTATCTTGGAAACATCCGAGATAAAACAAGACTTAGAATGCCTTTATGTGTGCGAATAGAAGTAGCTGCAATTGCGACGCTGGTATAAACCGTCATTTCTTCTTTCAGGACTAGTCCCACAAATTCAAATATACTTCAGTATGTGTGCAGTGACGTATACACCAAGCGGTGATGAAATCTGATGTAGCAAACGAGGACATGAATCGGCGTCATCTAGCCCCTCGTTGATTGCTTCATTGATTACTAGTGATTCCGGGCGCGTCAACTGCTAAGCTCATTAGTCTGGTACGTGCAGTGCATGATTCTGAGGTGGCGGTGATCTTGCCCCACTGGATGGCGAGATCCAGATGGCTGGTGGGGTTTCCCGAACCAGGTATCTCCCCAGCGCCGCCCAGCCGGGACCAGCTCTAAGCTCCCGACTGGTCTCGCAGCATGTGTGGTGATGTGTGAACGTACGAAGTGTCTGTAAGTGAGGGGTAACGCTGGGAATAGCGGTCGGCTGCTCTGATCGGAAGTTTTCCGTGGTTTCTCCAACAATACCAGGCGGCTGTCGGAGCAGCACCTTAACAAACGGGCCACGGACCGAGAGCGATATTTCCTTTCTCTTCCTTGCCCCTCCCTCGCCCCTTACACACACACACACACACACATACTCACTTACTTGCATTACACTACTACATACGCCGGGAGACCGGTTTGGAACTTCGATCTTATCCCGGATGGAGAGGACCCCTTCTGGTGGGAGATACCTGGTTGGGGAAACCCCCTCTAGTCGACGGTAGGTCAGCGCCTGATCTCACTATCCAGCGGGGGCCATTTCCGCACCACTACCACCACCACCACCCAAGAAAAAATGAACTACACTTACGGGACTTACTACACGTACGGGAATTTAGAAGTAGACCCTTCCGGAACTATCGATCAATCAATCAAAATGCCCTGTCCGACTGATTTCTTCTATTTAAATCACTGCGCCACTGTTTACGACACTACCTACGTAATGCGACAGCAAGGCTTGAAGGGAAAGACCACCCGCCATTAAATATTTGCTATTCAGGTGTTGCGATAAGGAACCGTTTTTCAATTCTTGGTAAGCAAATAAGTGTTGTTCTGTGAATCTGTATGTATTATGATTGTGTATTAATGCAGCATTGATGAAGACAGGTTTTTTTAAAATATTTTATTGTTGTGTTACATAAAAGCAATACTGGCCTCTGCGCACCCACTTTGTTCAGATGAACAAGAAATATTGAAGACGCACAGATGTATTGAGGCTCACATCGCGACAGAAAAATGTTTACGTGGCAGAGATTCGTTTCTATTGCAATCACGGCCTTTTCACCGGGCGCGCCTCAAAGTGCAGCGTTGCGGCTGGCGGACGGAAAACGCTGCACCCACTGCTGCAGGCAGCGCTCTAAAGGGTGGATAATTAGGTACGTAGAAGCACGCAACGGCGGCACAAGGCCGCTCCTTATTGGCGGTCTCTGTGCTCGCGCGTCGTAGTTTGCCTTTTCGCCTGCTACAATTTATCGAAAATATGACGTTCTGGCGTAATTTTGTGTTAAATATAGGCAATTATTTTTTAGACCCTCATCAGTGAATGCGGCTCTTTCAGGCCATGCATATCATGCTAAAAGTTAAAATTTTAGCACTAGAACTAAACGTGAGACGATACTTAAAGTGTTAAGGTCAATCTGTGAATGCAAAAAATAAAATACTTTCGACTGACCGCATCAAATGAAATACTTTCCACTGCAGACCGTAATGTATCATTAGGTCATTGTGTACTTGGATTAAAATGAAATGAAACCCAGAAGAGTTGTCTAAAAGGTAGTGTATGAACCAGCGCCGTTGTTAGGGGCTGGTCAGGTGGGCTGCTGCCAGAGGCGCAAAATTATTATTGCTTGATTTAAAAAATTCAGATTACATTGCACTTCTTAATTACTATAAAGTGACTTGGTAACCAATTATCCCTATATAGGAGTTGCACTTCGCCTAGCACTGGTGCAATGTGTGATTTCTGCTAGCTTTGAAATGTCTTTTAGCAAAATAAAATTGGTCAAGAACGTTTGATAACATCGCTACACTGTTGATTACGACCTTGCATAAGCTATTAATATAGACCATATTATTGACAAATTGGCCTCAGAAAAAGTCGTAAAAATACATTTTTAAGAGATAATGTTATGCTGAAATGATAGAACCCTTATTGAGTTGTTTCTCTTCCTAAATAAAAGTAAGAATTAATTTATGCATAAATGTACACGTAAGTTAAATATAAATTATACTTTCAAAGGTGCTGTGTTGTTTATCTTCCTAGAAAATACGACTTGGGGACAAAAAATTCAAATCTTGTCAGGGAGTGTTCGTCACTCTGTGCATGACATACGTGGTAAAAATGATTTGATTTTATTCGTAGAATTGCGCCACTCGACCTAGTGGCCTCGTATCGCAACACTTCCTACTCGGAAAATAAAATGCCACTTTTAGCACTCGTATCATAAATATTTCTAAAAAAACACTTCAATTTTTTTCTTCAGTATTTTTCTCGAATAAAGCAAAGTTTGCATACAGTCTCACGGCCCATTTTCGCTGGGTTCATTTTTTTGAAAACAAACAAACAAGGTTACTATCCTCTAAGGTTATCAGCGCCATGACAATATTACAATCGGAAACTTTACCGGAATTTTGCAAGTCTGCAGCCGTGTGGACGCCATTGCAACGGAACGCTGAATGCTCCATTTGCAGGCGCTTGCGTTCCCGAAGCCTCAAATAAATCCGACTTCCTTCCACTTCCTCCTCCTCGGGGCTCGGTGCATCCGAGTGAGTCATCGAGGGGCTCCGCGCCACAACAGTGCGCGTGGCGGCGAGCGTCACTGCGTGCTAGCGGCGCGGGGCGGGGCGGGGCGGGGCTTCCCTGCAGGGAAGAACAGCCGGTGACGTCAAGCGCGGCGCGCGGCGGAGGAGCCTCGCCGGGGGACGCTCCTGTGCGAGCGCGAGCGCCCGACGCGGCGCAGCAAGGCCAGCGGGAATCCACCGCGGCCCGAGACTCGCGCGCTGACACATGCGGCGGGCGGATTTTCGACACTAGCTGCACAGCTAGGTCGGCTGGAGGAGAATTCTAGAGGCCGGCTGCCGGTTTCTCCGATCAACACCAGGCCAATGCCGCAGCAGTGCCCGGCCACGCACTGAACGCGATCCCTCACCCCTTACTTACGCACACATACACTAACACTATCATACTCGTAGGGAGACTAGTCGCGAGCTTGGAGCTTGCGCGGCTGGGGCGGTGCCACGCTGATGGGAAATACCTGGAAAAGAAAAATTACTTCCGCAAGGCGACGGAAGGTTGGCGACGGATCTCGCCATCCAGCGAGGGAAGATCGCCGCCCCCTCCGGCGGTCAAAACACGCACTAAACACATGGGTCTAATGCCCTTAGCAGTTGACGCGCCCAGAATCACCAATCAATCAATCAAATGGAACCTCTATCACTGCTCATGGTAGGGGAACATAGACATCAATGTCTATGTTTTCGAAACATCGATGGATTATAGCTGATGATGTTTAACAACCACGTTTTTACGTGTTCAATTTTACGCTGTTCGTACTACCTTTATCGAGCAAAGTCTTTCTCGTCTGAGAAGACCCCAGTGCCTGCCCTCGTATTTCGTACGTATTTCCTTGAATTTCACACCAACACATGCAGTCAACGCATAAGCCGTGGGCTGAGGACCTGTCCCCTTTTTGCTTACTCTCGCTTGAAGACCGATCTTTCGAAATTACTCTGGGCTTTCAGACTTATTTTGCCAATTTTAACTTTTTCACTGAAATATTACTTTTAATATAAAAATACGACCACTGTCAAATTAATTTTTTTTTGTTCACGAATTTAATATTCGAGGTTACTAAAGCAGCTTTACAACATGGATGGTTGATTTTATCGTTTATTTTTAGCCGATGTATTATAACATTTTAATTTTGAACATTAATGTTTTGTCATCGATGTTGTATCCTTAGCATGTAGGGCTGGTGGAGCATTTAATGAACTCGTTTTCCTTCTTTCTTTGCTTTCTTTTCTTCAACTGTTCCTTTTTCATCTTTTTTTCACTTCTTCTTCTTCTTCTTCTTCTTCTTGACTTTCTTCACGATTACTTATCTCTTCCCTTCCTTGTTCTTATTCTTGTTTCTCCTCTTTCTTCAATGAAGATATTGTCGGACCTCAGGAACTCGTCACATGACATCGTAGAAAGTAATTGTAATAAAATCTTAATTATCATTTCGTGAATGAATTAACACAATAAGAGCCGGATTTCGGTTCTGCGGGGCCCCAGGCATAAAATCGCGTTCCCATATTGTCTAGATGTAATGAAAAATCGTGTGAACTTAATGTCAAAATAATTTAAAATTATGAAATATTTAGTAATTATATTTTAATGCTTAAATATTTTTTCGTACGATAGACCAATAAACAAAAATTTTTAGATACTAACATGCATTTATTTTTTACAATTCTTTCGAATATTTTATGACGTTTTTCCAGGGCACGAGACACCTGGATTGGGGCAACTGCTCATTTTGCTTGTGGGTAAATCAGTCCCTGGTTACAACTAAGAAAATCAAATAGATGAAAAGGGAGTCTAGAAGAGGCAAAATTGAATTAACTTTCGAGCCTAAAGCTCATTACAGTCGTATTGCGCCAATCAATTCAAAACTGAATGCCGTTTCTCACCTAGACAAGATCACGTGAGGAGCACGATCTGACAGCAAGACTAATACAACGGATTAATTTTTCTTAGATGAATAAAAAAATCAGCATTCACTTGAAAGTGTAATTATCTGAAGAGTGCACTACAGGTTCGCTTCCGCGTTAAAAGGTTCTCATGGCGAATGATATGTAAATACTGATGGCGAACGATCCTTCCGCATAATGACAACGATTTACGCGGAAACAAACTTGCAATCCTTGATTCGCCTACTAATTGGCTTCACAATCCGCTGCCTCAACACTCCCAATAAAGCAAAAAATGTATAAATGAGGAAGTTATAAATTAAGGAGCCGCTTCATTATAATTTCAGGAATTCGATTGGAATTGATGAAAATATAAAATTTCGAGGCTGAAGCTCATTAGTTGTATTATGCCAATTAAAAGGAACTACGATGTTAATAATTTACTTAGTGTTAGGTTATTACGATTGTGCCAAAAGCTGTTTCCCTGCCCCTCAACTATTCTACATCATTTGTATTTCTATTTCCCCATTATTTGTGTCCTTCGTGATGACTAGAGCCCGGAAGTTCAAAGATTTATTTAACCTAAAATAGGCAGGCAAAAAAGAATTTATTTTTACTAAAATAGGCATGTAAAGTACATTTATTCTTGCTAAAGTTGGGAGTAAACACAAGAAACATTAAAAAATCACTATATAAAAGAAATTAATGTAAAAATTTAATAATTAAAATGATTCACATTTTTATTCTAACTAAAATTTACAGGGAAAGAAACTACATTTTCTTTGCAATCTTGAATGCACATTATCCGATATGATGAGCACTGATTTATTTTACTCACGACGCTGTCTGTACGAAATGCTACTGTGGACTCCCTGTTTACTCTAGAAATGGAATCAATGCAAACGGAATTGCAGATTTCGTTCTTCGCACTTGTGTAATCACCGGAAGGGAGGAGAGAGCAAGAAGGGCTTATCACGTGCAGACAGTTCTGACCTCAAAAGGCATCTGAGACCATCCACAAGCATAGAACGAGATTTCTCGTGGGAGAACAAGCCTGTTAACATAAATAAAAAATATCAAACATCTTCACTGGTATCATTTTTCTTTCCCTTTTAGATATTTAAGACAACCTGACACTGGAACCTCCGCGTCCACAGTAAGACAATACACGACCGCCCCTTCATTTGTCCAGGCTTGCAATTGGGTTTCCAGCTTGAAAGAGATCGGTGCCAGGAGGGGGAAAAGGGAAAATAATTACGAAAAAGACAGGAAAGGGCGCAAATAAGGCAGAAAAGGCACAAATAAGCCAAAATGCCAAAAATACACATCTGAAGCAAAACTTGTTTTCCTCATTTCTGAGCCGCAATGCCCACCCACGTCCTCTGCAGCTCTTACAGACGTTTCACGCGCTCTACCTCGGTTGCGCCCTCGACGCGCGGACAGGCTAAGAGATATTTTCCTTGAATTTAAAACAGTTTTTGGAAAATAGAAACAAGATACATTATTTAAATTAAAATTATGGAAAATTAATGCTGCATATGGTTTCTCATTTGGCGATGACGAAAATTATCACGTTGTTGATTGAATGGTTTTTGATAGTTTAGGCTATACAGATTTTACTTAAGAACATTTTTCCTGTTTTAGGGTATGGTCAATGTAGCAAAACATTTGGTTTGACCGTTGGGAAGGAGGCAAAATGTTTAGTAAAGAACTTTATATAATTTCATATTGGGATGTTGGCTATGAGTTAGTTACCCGTCGTCTACCATTACGTTCATTCACATTAATATTTTAACAAACGTAGTGTAGTAACTGCGCAGATTATTTGCATGCATTTAATTATTTATTTTCGTCAAGATAACTGTTTTAGTTGCTTACGTATTTCATCAGCATAAAAATGCTGATCTGAATGTGCCGCATTTTATCTATGGATTTGTACAATTACGCGCTCCAGAACAATTATATGATCCATGATTTTATCTTATTGTAACAATAACCAGTATTTCGAAAATGTGGGCCATTGTGCAGTATCGTAGAAAATCGGGACACAGCCTAAGTTCGCCGCTTTCTGATATGCTTAACTAGAAAAACGAATCTCTATTTCTCTCAGTGAAGCAATGGTAATGGAGTGGGAATCTGAGGATAAGAGGGAGGTTCTCAGGAGAAATCGAAAAGCAGCACTTGTGATTTTCGAAATAATAATCCTTGTATAAATACCGCTTGAGTCTACGGCCTTCACACAATTTCACCCACTCTTTCTCGTCGCATGCATGAATAATCCACTCTTATGTATAATTACGTACAAGTTAAGTAATAATGCCCGACCGAAAGGCTGGCTTTCAGCGGTTTTCAAAGAATTGTTTTCCTCTCAAGTTTTGCGTTTTACACCTTAAATCATTTCATTTAGAAATAATCCAATAATTACTGTTTCTACCAGAGTATACCTAACTAATAAAAATAATTAGAAGTAAATATAATCATTGAGAATATAATAACATCACAATAGAGTACTCATAACATATTCATCCGCATTTCAAATAACGTAGGATTCAACATTTCATTGCATTTCAAATAGTTAATATTATCAAAGTATATCTCTAACAGATATACTTTTCTTTGTTTTCCCCATTTGTTTCACATGCACATCTAATATACAGCGGGAAATCAGTGTAGGCAATCAGTTTAAACTGTGATAAAGGAAATCCTGTTACATACAATATGTACCCGTCCCCTTCATTTCCAATATTAGACTTAAAATCAAATCTTGGAAGTTTTTTATCCTGTCAGTAGACATTAAGTCTTAAAATCCTTCATGCACATTGAAATTTCCTTAAAATCACGTATCAACACATACATTCTTGTACTTGGTTTTGAATCCACAGAATTCTCATGTTTCCAACACGATTTAAAAGAAAGATAGCGAAGATAATTTGCATCCTAAATGCAAAGCTCCTTGCGGGGCAAAGTCAGTAATATTTCTGTTCGGGTCACTCCCTCCCAACTATTTCTGAAATGTTAAAAAATGTTAGCTAAAAAATACTGCAGGAATATTCCTTCAGAATACGATGCGTTCAATACAAGGTAATTGATTTGAACACATATTGAAATTACAAATTAATTGGATATTGAAGGGAGGGGGCCTAGCCTCATCTGCTTTCCCTGCTGGCTCAACTGTTTTCAGATCGAGAACTCCATGCCGGCTAACCCGAATGCTATTTGTAATTTTTTTAGAAACAAACTTTTCTTCACGCATGACCCAGTACGTCTGCACATATAAAACCTTTTAAAGTAGACATTACATTGTTTGTACATTAAGCACCTGGAACTTTTAAAATTGGTAATATAAAAAAAACGTCACTGCGCATAATTTTCAAACCTCTAGAATTTGAAAATATGTATACATTCTCATCAAATCGGGAATTTTTTATCAAATATTAAAATTTAATGATATTTTTCGGCCGATAGGAATAAACTCTATTTTATGTTGTATAAAATGTATTCACTGATTCGAGAAACAAAGGTACCACAGGGACTGGCAAATTTACTTGGAATACATACTTTAAACTTTATGTTGCGATTGATATAGTGAAAGAAACAGTAATATTCAATAATTTGGCACAACTATCAGTTGAACGCTAATGTGCTGTTACAACAAATACCTAAATTCTATATACCGATTCCCACTAGATCTTATATAGAACCCAGTAAGCCAAGAAAAAACCAATGGATAATACTACTTTTATTGGTGACGCAACTATCAATTAGGACAAATTCTCAAAGTGTACACTGCATTTATGTCAACATATAGTAGTTTGCCCAGCCATGTGACTGATTATTCCAAATAAATATGTCGGCATAGACGATGAATAACATCTATAAATTATTGGCATTAATTTCACGACCGTTGTGCGATTCATATTGGGACTGTGATTCTCTCTATTACGTTTGTCATTCCGCCAACTGGAAAACATTCGCATGAAAACTAAAAATGTCTATGTTTCTAAAATTTAAGAAGGAGCATATCCAAAATTATACTTACATAATTGTTATTGACATGGGTTATTTTTTTTATTTATTACAATCTCATTAACCCAAGGTTCTTAGCGACTGTTCATTATTTTACATTAAGGTTCGATATTCAGAATCACTACGCACTACTCAGAATTAGTTACGCACACAGTACTGTCCTGTCCTTTGGCTCGACCAGCGGTGACACAACGTCTCGGCCATGGGATAAGGGGTTCGTGTGGTTAGCACGAAAACATCCCTTCACCGAATATTATGGTCTTCATAACCTTAAGGCGGACTTTCTCATCGTCACACAGCAATAGATTCTGGGACTTTTGAAAGAAAGCACAGTTATTATGTTGTCCCGGCCGGGAATCGAACCACATACACAGTACAGTGTTTACAATAATAAAGGAATTATTTCAATAATACAAAAACTTGTTCACAATCATGGCTGGTATGTTAATACTGACACGAAGTCAATGGTTATTCTTTGCTTCGAAGTTGGCATATTGCAACATTGAAAGTGTGATAAACGTGAACAGCGCGGACTCCTTTGTCCTCTGCGACTGTAGGCTGACTTTGCCATACTTCAAATTAATCTATCTGTAAATTTATTATTTTCTCGCATTCTAATGCTGCGGTGAAAATCTGCAATCGGCCAGAAAATTTCGCATTGTACATGATACCAAAAAAGTGGAAATTTGGTGTTCCTTAATATAGTAAATTACTTCTAACACGTCGTCTCATTTGTGGGTTCTTGATACCGTTAAATGGCTTCAGGCAAAATGTCTGTCGGTATATGAATAAAAATAGCTCATAAGCTCAACAGAATTTAACAAAATTGATAATCCTTGATTGATCTGGCTGATACGGCCACTTGGATTTGAAAAGGGATATTTTCCCATACAACGGGTTTGTAACAGCTTGGCCTCCATTCTGCCATCTTCCTCAGGGTGAAATGAGTTTAGCATTTCACCGTGAGAAAGGTCATAAATAAATGAATTTCGGCCTGAAGAAGGTCATGAAGAAATGCATTTTGCCCTGAAGAAATTTCGCTCTGAGGAAGGTCGCAGAAAGGCGGCCGAAACGTTGGCACCTGTGCCTAAGACAGGGCGTCTCCCGGACACCCACGCAGCGACAAATTGGCACAGGTTCAGTTTTTCTTAAATTTTCTTCTTTTTCAAAAACTGCGAAAGTTTACATTTTTTGCGTCTTTCTACAACCATAATATTGAAGAGTAAGATCGTTTTTAGAAATGAAAGCAATTCTTCAAAATTATATATCTAAATAATTCCATTTACAATTTTTTCTAAATATGAGTAGTTTTTTGTGTTCTTTTTCGTGAAATAAAGGGGATTTGAAAAACGTAATTTTGAAGAAAAGTGAAGAAAAAATTTAATTCGTTTAAACAAATTAATTTTTTTCTTTGAACGTTTCGAATGGCGAGGAATAAATGCATTGAATAACTTGGCATAAGAGTTGTTTTAATGTTTGTTTTTTCAAAAATTACGTAATGTGTTCAAATATTGTAATATATTTGAACATGTATAGTAATATTACCTAACCTTTTCAAACAATGTGAGCAAATACGTAGTGTTGTAGCATCACTAGTTTAATATTCGCACAAGCGTTTTTAAATGATTTAATTCTTAAAATACACTTAAGAATCATGGCAATATTTTACATTACATTAGGATTACATTAGACGATTATTATTTTACATTACAACGACGACATTATACACATTACATTAGGCATCAACGAATGGTGTTAGAGATATGTATAGAATTGTGATAAATTTTTCGTCATTTACCCGAGGAAATGTTATTTCCCTCTTAAACCGCTTCGCTCCACTGATACGTGTTTTTTATTCGCGAGCGAAGAGATAACGATTTTTCCCTCCCTCCATGTAAACAGAATCGAAACAATTGTGCTTGTTACATATGACGTTTAGACTTTTATTGTAACACTAGGCATACCAGAATCTCCAGATAACTGAAAAGCAATTTGGGCAGTCGTTTTGTATTAAATCTACATTAATCCTGGGAAGAGAAGTAGGTTCCATTCGTTAACTTCCACTTTTCAATGCTCTAGTGGCTACGTTGTCACGCTCTGATTGAGATAACTGCTGAAAGAACCGAAAATTTACAAACAAGCTTCACTTTCTTAATTACCCACATATATTAACGCCTACAAATCTGGATCACATTCTGTTATTCTCCGTGATCACGATGCAAGAATCCTCCTGAAAAACTCTCTCAATGTAAATGTAATTGTACTTGCATGTCCGAACGTTCTTCTCGTCGTGACATGATCAGACCACCTGTTTAGAAGGTCGGCGAGCGGATATCCAAGGTCTCCTGATCAAGGGCGCAGGAGGAGGGGGGAGAGGGACGTGGGTCGGTAGCAAGCGACGACATACCCTCCTCTCCCATCCTTCTGACTTCCTTCCCTCTAACATCTTTGATCCATTTAATCTGCAGGATTAATTTGATCCATTTAATCTACTCTTGGGAGTACTCATCACAAGCTAACGACAAGCAAGATAGATAGATTTCTAAGACAATTTTGTAAACGGGTATGTTCTCGTATCAGTGTCTTCAATATTAATATTTAAAACCTTCATGAAATTACTAATAATTTATAATTAGTGCTCTGCGAGGCAGAGAAATTCTTACGAAAATAAGATCAAATACTATGTTTAGAAATCATCTCGCAGTTAAGGCGAAACGCAGACACTTGATACCATGTAAAGTAAAAGTAAAGAAAAGTACGGATCGAAAATGCTCATATACATATATCTGAAGGAACATTTTAAATCTGAGCCAATTCTTAAATGAAATATATTCAGCACTTCGTCGAACGAATGAGTTATTTCACTAAAAGATCCCACAATTATTTGACATTCACTGAATCATTGTTCATATGCCTTTATCACCGCATTAATTCGTCTTACTTTTTTACCATTCCGTTAGATTTACCATTACGTTAGATAAGCTACAACTTGGGGCCTCAAAGTGGAAGGGGATTCAAAAATTATTAGAGTACGAAAAAATAAATAAATTTGATAAACACGCTATTTGTGTTAAAAATTTCTAAGATAGTTTTTTTCAGGCTCGTCTATTACCTTTTGAACTTTTCGAGTGCATGACAAAATTCGTCACGCGAAAATCCGTCACGGCCTTCTGACTGGCTGATTGAAATGGGCTCTTTGCATAAACTCAACGTTTGAGTATTCGAGCACAGACATTGAGGTTTGAGTGACACGTTGAGGTTGCCTTTTGATTTTTTTAAACTTCAATAATTTCAAATTGTACAAATTGTACAAAATATCATTTAGTAAAAGTAAGAGGGGTTAAAAACTAGTGTCGAACAACTGTAGAACAAGATAAACTCAGTTCACCACAAATTTTACTCAAAATGTTAAGTTCTTAGGTTTTATCTTTCGACGATACTATTCCTTATTTTCTGAACAAAACATCGCGTAAACGGCACATTTAGTCAGTTTTGTTTTTATTAATGATTAATATAATGTTGAATTGTCTTGCAAGTAGTTAAACATATAGTAGATATTATTGTGTTATAGACGATTGTTATCAATTTTTAAATTTATAATTTGAATATAATTATTTTATGGCTTTTTTAAATTGTTTACTTCATTTTGAGTAAAAAATTAAAATATCCAATCTCAAAACTGTTATTGTTGCCACTAAAAAGAGCAACTTCAAAAATATTTTAGCCTTGGGGCTCGAAAGTGACAAATCTGCCGCCTGCTACACAATATGAATCAAAAGAGAATCCTGAGCGGCCTTTTTCCCTCTTGGATTTCCCGTTCAGTGTAGTCACTCTGCAGACACCCACACGACTGTCCGAAAGGCAGATGAATGTCCATGCAACACCTGAGGATCAGGACAACCAGATCCAGATGTGCTACGTCTATGGTGTATACTAGAAATATCGACGAACAATGCAGGAAAACTTTTCCACGTTTGCAACACACGATCAAAAACCAATGCCACACACGTGATCCCCTAAGTAATAAATGTACCAACATTCAATTTCTTTTTTAAGTATTACTTGAGAAATCAAAAAAAAAGGTGTTCTGCTGTTCTAACGTTCTAAAGGAATTTTATTTTTGTTTGGTATCTTTGTCTCTGCGTCCTGTTTGGCCATTGCCTTTTCATTACTCCGGTCTCCACTCTGACATGACGTTGCTCCATGCAGATTTGCTGAAAGCTGCACTTTTTGGCACACTGCAATGAATATATGAATGAGTGGTCGTTGCATTAAGTGAGCCCTGACGCAGAAATGCTACAGCTACAGCTACAGCTACAGCTACAGGCCTACAGCTACAGCTACAGCTACATGCTAATCAGCTACAAGCTACAGCTACAGCTACAGCTACAGCTACAGTACGTTCACACAGCTACAGCTACAGCTACAGCTACAGCTACAGCTACAGCTACAGCTACAGCTACAGCTACAGCTACAGCTACAGCTACAGCTACACTACAGCTACAGCTACAGCTACAGCTACAGCTCAGCTAACAGCTACAGCTTACAGCTACAGCGTTACAGCTACAGCTACAGCTACAGCTACAGCTACAGCTACAGCTTACAGCTACAGCTACAGCTACAGCTACAGCTTACAGTATCAAGCTACGCATACAGCGTACAGCTACAGCTACAGCTACAGCTACAGCTACAGCTACAGGCTACAGCTAACAGTTCTACAGCTACAAGCTACAGCTACAGCTACAGCTCAGCTACAGCTACAGCTACAGCTACAGCTTACAGCTACCAAGCTACAGTAAGCTACAGCTACAGCTACAGCTACAGCTACAGCTACAGGCTACAGGCTACAGCTACAGCTACAGCTACAGCTAAGCTACAGCTACAGCTACGCTACAGTACAGCTATACAGCTACAGCTAAAGCTAAGCTACAGCTAACAGCTACAGCTACAGCTACAGCTACAGCGTACAGCTACAGCTACTACAGCTACAGCTACAGCTACAGCTACAGCTACAGCTACAGCTACAGCTAACAGCTACAGCTACAGCTACAGCTACAGCTAACAGCTACAGCATACAGCTACAGCTACAGCTACAGCTACAGCTACAGCTACAGCTACAGCTACAGCTACAGCTACAGTACAGCGTACGTAACAGTTACAGTTACAGTTACAGTACAGTTACAGTTACAGTTACAGTTAAGTACAGTTAAGCGTAATAGTAATACTAATCAGTAATACCAATACGTAAT